AATAAATGTCTTTCACAAGATCGGTAAGGATGAAGGATGTCCTTTCATCCATTTGATCTCATTCTTCCAGAATATCCACGCTACTGTCTTTCCATTGGAGCATCAAGCTGTTTCTTAAATGAGTCCAAGCACTCTGGCCTGATTTAACCCCCGAGGTACCAGTTCCAGCTATTGATTTTCCTAAGTGTAAAGAAATACTTCCAAGTGGCTAACCTAAAATCATCCTTCACAAGCCTGAATTTATACCATCTGCTGCATCCTTGGAATATCTGAAAGTATTGTTCTAAGTTTATATTCTCTATCTTCAGTAGCGTCTTACAAAGTCCCCTCTCAGAACTCTCTATGACTAAAGAGCCCTAGCTTATTGAATTGTACCTCATAGCTCATCCCACCAACATCTTTGTCACCCTCTTCAGCAGGGAGCTGTAGGAGCTCAGAATATACAAGCAGAAACTGCAGATTCCAAGGACCAGTCGGCACTCACTGCTGTCTGGTGGGCAAAGGGCAGTGATGTTTTACTTTTGTGGGCTTGTGGAGATGGCTCACTTTTAAAGACCTTTGTTTCTTTTCCTACCACCTTCATAGAAAGCCAACTGTGCTAACCAAGAGCTGCTCGGAAACCCATTAAACAGCTCAGAGTGTGCGTCTGGACAGATCTGTCAGAGTCAGTCTGGGAGAGAGGATCTCTAACCAAGCTGCCTCCTGCTGGGAAGACGAAAACAACATCAGCTGTCATCCCATCAACTTCCCACACAAGGTTTACCATACGTCAAATGAGGTCAGGGAGTTGGACTCATTTAATATTAGTTGGATTCACTAACAGTGACAAAAAAAGGTGAGAGGGGGAAAAGAAATACCTTTTATGCCAAACTGAATATGATCTCCTCAAATGTTCTTCCATCACCTCCTGAAGGTGTTTGGCTACTTTTTTCCTTCCAGTAGGGTACGGATCCACAGGTGTCCTCACTCAACTGTCCATTGTTTATCTGCGAGCTGTGACACTGAGCTGAGTGTTAGCTCTCTATTAAACCACAGGGGACCTCACACCCAAGACTGATCATGTTCTCACCTGATGGCCACACACACACTTTCAAAGTCGGGTGGAGGGGGTGTGGGGGGGAAGAGGTGAAAGGGGGTCTGTGGATAGCGATTGGGTAGGGTACGCTGGCTGATTTTCCTCTACCTGACTCACAGACCTTAAGCCAATTGTATCCCTTACTCTTGTCGTGACTGAGATCAGCTAACTAGGCACAGTGGTGGGATTCGAACCCATGACCTGCCTGGTTCAGCTTGTACAGCAATGGATACCCACTGGGCCATCGTTGGAGCTCCAGAAAACACCCAACTAGTGCTATTTGTGACTGTGTTTATTCTACTGCCCGCACTCTCCTCCTGCTGTGCAGAACATAACAACCTGTGAGAGCCACGGACGGCTCAAGGGAGACAAGGTGGCCTGTCAACACTGAGTGTGAGAGAGCGCGAGCAAGAGTGAGAGCGTTCGGTCCAGATCAATGTACAGGAGAGCTGCTCGGAAACCCATTAAACAGCTCAGAGTGTGGTTTGAAATGGATATCCCTTTTATTTTTACAGCAAAATTTGTAAAAAGCCTGTGGGAAAACTCAGTTTTAACTCCATCCAGATGTCCAGGTTGCGGCACTTGCACAAGCTCACAGTCCCATTCGTACTGTCCCTGTGTAAGATTTCCCTTTCAACAGATACACAACACACAACAACACCTTAACAGTGCTTGATCAAAGTTTAAGTCTTTGGGGGGGAAAAAAAATCAATTTGTTCGGTTTTGAAGAGTGAAGGGAGTCTGTGACTTTCGGATACAAGACAATATCATGTGTTTACTGTTCCGTCTCTCAACCCTCTCTTTCTCTCTCAGTCGCACCCTTTCCCATCTTTCTCGAGTTTGTACTATTGCGAGCTTTCCACTCTGGTTTCTGCCAAGCTGCAAACCCATCATCGCTCATGTGCTTCTTCTCCTCTACGTTGAAATCACAATTCGTCACATCGACTTTTTTTTTCCTTAGGACATCAATCGTCCAGAACCTCAGCCTTTCCTCAATCTTCCCTTCATCCTGCGATCTGCAGGTTTTTTAAGAGCTAAGCTTCAGGTTACCTGATCATGGCTTGTTTCATCTCATCTTCTCTCCTACTCGGTCGTGTCCTACGCTCGGGGGCCTTGGGATTCTCACCTGGGATTCTCAATAAAAGAAATGAATGAGTGCTGTTGTCAGAGATTTCTGGCTGGCAAGCCACAAGTTCCTGGCAAAAAGAGGCCCTTTCTGGAGCTGAAAGGTGGTGACAGACGACTCACTCAGCTATGAAAGGCTGTCATCATTTCCAGTGTGGGGGGTTCCTTCTTTGGCTTGGAAATTAACCACTGCTTTTTCTCTGCCAATTTTCTCACCTCTTCTCCCCTCCTTTCCTGAAGGCAGTGACTCGTGCCGGAGTACAATTCCATGGGCATCAGACACCCTCAGATACCTCAGCCAGGGCTTAGCAGCAGCTTAAGCAAGAGATGTCTTGGCAGTAAAGGGAAGCAACCAGGAGGATTCCCCTGTGTTAAAGTGTTAAAAGTTTTTATGCTGCGTTAGCTGATCTCATAGGGGCTAAATTGGCCTCCCTAACTGAGGGTGGGGGGTGGGGTGGGTGGTGGGGAAGCCAATTGCATGAGGTGTTCTATCAAATACAAGGCTCATTGATATTATTAATATTAGTATTATTGCTCTGGTGGCCAGAGGTCCATTCAGTATTCAAAGTGCAGGCTGACCAGAGCACTGTACTGTCTGAGTGCAGTTTATCATGTGGCCTGTGAAAGCTCTGCAACAGGCGGATAAATGTCCAACACGATCTCTGACTGTATAACAGCTTCACATACATTCCCCACAAAGCACTTCCTTCGACACTCTCTGCTTAAACACATTTTGACGCTTCTCCCAAACAATACAATAAAAATTTTCATTTGTATAACCTTCTTCACGTCAAGAGAATGTCCCCAAATGAACACCACACGGCCTCACCTTTGTGCATAATTCATTTCTGTAATCATTTCATTGCTAGTGAAAATGGCTTGTTTTATTAATGAACGAGTTTGCCCTACTCAGGCTCAGAACTCCACACAGAGCAAACAATTCAGAAATTAACAGACAGAAGAAATCCCCATATCCAAACACTTTTACAGATACTCTTCCTTTAGAGATCCTTTTAACCAAAGAGGCGAGTTGTCAGGATCCTCCTGCAAAAGGGATAGACTCTTGTTCAAGTCCCTCTTTAATGATGGAGTCTCACTCCTTGGATCCATTAAAGAGGACGCAATGAAATCTTTAAAAGGCACCGCACAGAGCAGTTAGAGCAGCAATAAAAAGAGGTACTCCCTGCAAAGAGACATTTGGTCTCAGACCCCACCAACTCTCATATTCAGGATCCCTGTGAAAGTAAACCCTTGACCATCATCCCTTCAAAACATAAATAAATAAATAATAATGTGTTCATTCAATCCAGACTGTTTGTGGGACACTGCTGTGCGGAATTGGCTGCTGCGTTTCACTCACAAAATACACAGTATATTCTGTGAAGCACTTTGAGACATCTCGAAAACGTGATAAGGCACTACATCAAATGCAAAGATTATTTTATTATTATCAGAATACTGTCACATATCAGGAATTTATGGTTGCACGTCACGGAATAATGACTTTAGGGAGTGACTGAGTGAGAGGGAGTAATGCCTGCCATTAGAGTCATTGGGCTGTATTTGAAAGGATGTAGTGCTGTCTAGCAGCAAGCCATACAGAGGAGCATCATTCTGAATTGCGGGTTCAAAGGGCCGCCTTCATTTCTCCAATAGCTCCTGTAATGGAGTACACCAAGGAACGTTGTAGAAGCCAAAATGCAATTCCGAATGGTTCCGTCCTGTTTCAATCTGTTTAATTTGTTTGCAGCTAAACTCAAAGGAATTGTTTTATCTGGTTCAATGACGCACTTGAAAGCCGTCTTAGGAAATTGGTAGGCATAAAGCAATGATGGCACACAGAGAGCTGCAAGCCCAGCGCGGCAGGATCAGGGAGATAATAGGAGGCACGGTAAACGAGCTTGGAGCTGGCACTCTCACTGTAAAACTAATTATGAGATGTTCTGCATGATGCTGCCAACAGCAGGTAAAGAATACTCGGGAGAAAGAATCCTGCTTGCTATTCCGTTCATCTAATTTTAGCAAAAGGATATTATTGCTCATGGGAGACAAACAACAATATTTCTTCCAGCTACTAGGAAAGGTTCATAAAATTACAAATGGCGTTCGGATGAAGAAGCCCCCCTGGCCTATTTAATCTCATCTCGTAGAGGATCCCATTAGTTTCTTAAATAAATTCAGCATCCTGGTTTCAGCAACCTTGGTCCATTTGTTTATTACTTTCGGTGCAAAGAAATGCTTCCTGGCGTCTTGTCTTAAACCAAACCCTGAGCTCCAAGTACACTTGTCAAGCAGTTGTTGGCATTCTTTGTTGGCATTATATCACTGACAGGTCTATCCCTGGTGGATCACAGATAAAATATGACCAAAAATCATAACTGGCTTGTGTGGATGGCCTGAGAGAATTGAGCACTTCCACTACTACATTGTGGCATTTTGCTTAAGTTCCTACAGCCCCATCTACCATCCAAAAACACTCTCAAATGATTTTTATGATTTCAATGATTCCCCAAACTTGCAGTCTTCAGGACACTTCCCGTTACTTTCTTACAGTGATATTCAGGAGGAGTAGACGAGAGCTCAGAGAGTAACTCTTTCCCCCTTAGAGGGAAGCCCTCGGCTTTAGTCAACCAATACTCAGTAAAATGCAACATCAATACCCTGAATCCTTCAAAGTATCTCCCAATGGTGGCACCAATACAGTATGGTGCAAAACAGAATGAGTGTTGACAACTCTTGTTCCTGACCGTTTAAAGGCAGAGAAGGCAACCACACATTGGCTCTTGTTTCCTTTTCTTACCTTTTCTGCTGTGAATCTTTCTTGTCCACTGAGCCCAGACTCTGAAAGAAAAAGGAGAAACACAGCTGGTCACTACACAATCATACTAAACTGACGAGGAGGCATTGAGCCCAGCGATAAAGGCAGCGGTGTGGTATGGTCTATTTCCCCTGCAGCCTTTATGCCAACTCCTTTGGGAATGTAAGGGGAGAATCTATCCCTGGAAACAGTTGCTTCTGTCTACTGACTTAAACCTAATCTCAAAGAGAAATCTGGACACAATACCGGATCAATGCTTGACATAAAGATTTTCTTTTAAAAAACAGTAAAATAATATTAGCAATCGCATTGTCAATGATTTGCACTTCCAGCTCAGAGTCAGAAGGTTGTGGGTTCAAGGCCCATAAATTAAGTCTGGGCCAACACTCCAATGCAGTGCTGGGCTGCAGTTAGAGCTGCCATCTTTTGGATGAGATGTTAAAAGCCCCGTCTACCTAGTTAAGTGGATGTTAAAGATCCCTTGGCATGATTCAAAAAGAGAAAGAGATTCTCCTCGTGTCTTGGCTAACACTAACAATCCCTCAAATAAAATTGATCACTCACATCAATAACTGTTTGTGGAATACTGCTGCTGCATTTGTCCACGAATACATAAATACTGCATTTTACAGTAAAAACCTGTGAAGCGCTGTGAGTTGTCTTGATGATGTGATAAGGTGATGTATCAAATGCAAGGGTTATTATTAGCTTTATTTCAATGAATGTAAGTTCAGATCTGAGAACTTCTCCTTATAGCTTGTGAGTCCAAATCCTGTAATTATTCGTGTTGTCTGCTGTGAAAGATCTTTAATGCTTCGACAACCTGTTAAAGGTAGAGAGCCCAAAATTATACTCTTCAGCACAGTGGCAATACAGAGTATAGTTTTGTGCAAAGTTAGAATAACATCTTTTGGCTTACAGTCAAAGGCTATAAAGATGCTATTTAGAATTTGATTGTTGATAGCAGCTTCATATTAACTGGAATCTTTCCGTGAGTGAGCAATAATCGCATCCAACACTTTGCTTCTCCACCTTTGCAAACAGTCCTCCTTTCAATGTGCAAAAAAGAATTTGCATTTTTATAGTCCTTTTTCACATCGCAACATCGCAAAGCATTTCCCAGATAATTACCGTCAAGTGTACGAGCTATTACTGGTCTTGGGTTCCAACACATATTATCTTGGACTGATTGGCATTAGCACTTTGATTGCCATCAGATCTATGTCAACTTCTGTCCCTGGGGATTTAGCTCACACTATGACAGTGAAAACCTCCAATATTACACTGAGTAAAAGCCACTCAGGTATAAGGGTAGCTTCATTGCTGTATTAATCCGAACACATGGAATACAATTTAGAATAATGTTACAGTATCTCATGTTTCTTTCCCTCTATTCACTCTGTCTCTAAACTTTTCGCTATTTTTGACTTGTTTTAACCTTTACTCATCTTAAAACCTATTATTTCTGTTTGTATGTTAGGTAAATGTTGACCTTCTTACTGAGTTAGTGTGCATTCCCACGCTTTGTTAGTTCCCTCATTTTATTCCGACAAATGCATTTTCTTGCCACCGCTAAACGTGGTCTTGAAAGAATTCCATTTTCTCTTGATTTGACTGTTCTTGTTCTTTTTCCCACTTAATCACCTCCAAGCTTTTCTCATATCTCTTTACCTTGCATTTCCTCATGTCATGCACCTCAGTCTAATCTGTGCTCTTATCTTTCAGGATAAGATCAAACTTGACCGTATCATGATCTCCGGAGCACCCTCTTCTTGGCTGTGCGTCAGCCTGGTGCGGTGCTTGCGCTCTCGCCTCTGGGTTCAGAAGGTTGTGGGTTCACGCCCCATGTCGGAACTTGAAATCAAATAGCCTAAGCTGACCCTCCAATGCATTCCCGGGGGTTGTTGCATTGTCACAGTGTCACAGTGTCCTGGCCAACAATCCCCCAAACAAAATTGCTCACTCGCTCCATGGCTGTTTGTAGGACGTCGCTGTGGGCAAATTGGCTGCCCACAAATACACAGTCAATCAATTCACTTTACTGAATATCCTGTGAAACGTTCTGAAACATCTCAATTACATGACAAGGCGCTGTATCAAATGCAATGATTATTACACTGAATCAGAATCTGCTGGGCTTACTGGTATATTTTTCATAAACAACCAATCGTTCTTTACTTTGTAATAGAGTTTTCTCGCCCACTTAATATCTAATTGCACTTATCGCAAAAAAAAATTTTTAGTGGAGCATTGCAGGCAAATACACAGCTGAAACAAAATCTAATAAATTTGTTGTTTAGGAAAGGTTTTTCAACAGGAATTTATCCCCCCCCCGAGTCCCCCCTTCCCACAGCTCTTGCGACCACAGGCTGGTCAGTGGTGGTCAGTAATATCAGTAATAATGTTGGGGTCTGGCTCTCACGTCCCTGCTGACACCTACACTTAGGCAAGGTCCACTGGGTAAGAATGGGAAGCTCACTCTCTTCTGTTAACTCATACGACTTGTGTTCCGATCTTTCCCACGGATTCTGTGAACCAGAGTGGACCTGTTGTAGCAGGTTGCACTGTGGATGAAGGAGCCAGTATTTGACTTGTAGAGCACCCACATACCAGTCCTGCAACCATGTCACTGTGAAATTCTGGAACCTCTCTTGCGAAATACAGTGTTATCACCTCTTAATGGGCGTACATGAGATGTACTAAACTGCTTAATCTATTTCATAAACCGCAGCTCTCCATCGTGTAACCCTCTACAGTTATTCACCAAGGGGTATTCTTCAGTTGCCTACATTTCCTGAAGGCAAGAGTCGGGAGTGGGGGGGAGGGGAGATCTGAAAGGCATCGGAAATTTAGCGTTCTAACGTCGATCAGTGAGGAGGGAAGAAGGGGGGGAAGAGAGAGAGCGCGAGAGAGAGACAGCTCGAGTAAAATCTCTTTCGTCTATTCAGCCTCAGAATAAAACCAGTCACGGAGTCGCGGAGACTTTGAGCACACACACTGTGCTCGAAACAACCCTTTTCGGTGAGCTTTTCAAAACCTCAGATCAGCTTCGTTACAAAGCGCCACAGTTTTGTTTTTCTCTGCGCTTGGAACAAGCGAGCTTTGAGTAGCGACTCACACACATACACACACACACACACATACCTCTGCACAAAGAAAGCAGGAATACCCGTTCTTAGTTGCAATGGGTCCTGTCGCTGGCGAGAGAATTCTTCTACGGCAATACAGTTGCCAGCCAGTCTCCTCTCATATCTTGTACTTTTCCTGCAGTTTGTGTCTCGGAGGAGAGTTGTCACCTGCCATAAACTACTTGCTTTGTATAACGGAGCACAGCGTGCTTGCTCTGCTCCTCGCAGGGCCAGTTCCTCTGTTGTACTTTAAATTGTGTTGCCAGGCAATAAGCTTGGCTAACTCCTGGCTGCAGAGACAGGGCCAGAATACTAATCAGCGTAACTCTATCCTATCAGCCATCACAGGCATCTCGGGCTGCGATGGAGCCTCAATTGGTTTAAACCCTATCTGCTCCCTCGTTCCCCCGCCGCAGTACACCCCTCTTTGAAACAATGGCTTAGCCCACGGAAGATCTGATCGGTAACAACGCAACGGACTCTGCTTGTTTAAAAGTACGTTAGTATCAGCAACTCTGGGTAAGAACGACGTCTCCTGACTAAACTGTCGCCGAGAACACCAATGGATGGGATGGACGTACGGTGTTCATGGTGTCTGCATTTTATCTTTCTCTAAATGATCACTCTTTCTTTCCCAATCTTTCTCCACTCTTTTTCTGAGTCGAGGTTAACATTCCAGTTCAGTGAGGTGCCAACTTTTGGCAAAGTTGTAAGATAGACGTGAACAGTTCCATGACACTTTTCGAAAAGGGAAGTGAGCTTGGCCTGGTGTCCTGGCCAACAATCCTCTGGATAAAATGCTTCACGCAACCCACAGTTTGTGGGAACCTTCCTGTTCATCAAATGATTATCGCATATATCTACAAAAACAGTTGAAGTACACTTGCTTGTGAAGTGCTTTGAGGCATTTTGGTGTGAATAAAAATATTGCAAGTTCATCCTTTCCAAGTCAAAATCGAATCCCAAAGTCAACCCCAAGCTTCAGTTTAAAAGATCAAGGAGATCAAAAGATCATTTAAAAGATCGTGTGTTCTCTCTTTTGCTCTCTCTCTCTCTACCTCCGGGTCACAGATTAATCTTAAAGACTCTTCACTGAGAACTCAGAAGCTTCATCTTCCAGAGCACAAACAGAAACCAATGGAAATAGCCCTGAGTCTAAGCTAAGGTGGATGGTGTGAAAGTTACTGTTTTAAAAAGGAAAAGAAATGGTTAGAAATATAAGATCAGGAAGAAGTAAAAATGTAACTTTTCAAAAATGAATAACAGAGAGCTGAGAACACAAGAGAAGGGACATCGGAAGCAGAGAAGGTCATAATTATTTTGTTCATATCTAAAAATGCCTTCTTGTATTTCTTCAAGTAGTTTACAACAACTTACTGCGCTGCCGCATTTTCCTACAAATACACAATCACTCAATTTCACAGTAAATTCTGTGAAGCCCTTTGAGACATCCTTCTGATGCTATTTCAAATGCAAGGATTATTACTATTATTCAGCAATGTATCCACAAAGAGCCATGAAGTGAATGACCACTGGGATCGGGGAGGTGGAGGGCGGGGGGGGAATGAGGGTGACCGAAGGCACGGTCGAAGAGGAGGGTCTTGAGACCGGTCTTGCAGGAGGCAAGGGAGGGGGTGAGACGGAGGGACTGTGGGATGGAGTTCCAGAGAGTGGGGGCAGAATGGCTGAAGGCCCACCCACCAATGGTGGGGCGGGTGAGGCGGGGAATGTGAAGCAGGCCAGAACCCGCTGAGCGGAGGGAGCGGGCAGGTTAGTAGGGGCTTAGAAGTTCGCAGAGGTAGTGGGAGGAAGGCCATGGAGGGTTTTGAAGGTGAAGACCAGGATCTTGAACTGTACCCTCTTGGTGATGGGAAGGCAGTGGAGTCAGCTGAGGA